GTGCATCACTTTGCCCATTAGCAAGCCTCCAGTCTGGATGACAATGCGGGAGCGATTCTAGTGCGAGAATAGAGACTGGGTGCGAGGCCCTTGCTCGAAGTTCCCGCTGGAGAGGTTGGAGGTTCGACCAGTCGACTGAGGGGTCTTCCCTCAGAGCGCTAATCATCTGCAAGACTGAAATGGCGTAGCACAAGTTATGAGGATTAATCAATTGTGGCATAGGCTGAGCTGCAGGAGGCGGTGGCGGAGCAGAGGCATCCAGGTCTGTCGGTGCTGGCTGAGGAGGTCCTGCGCCTAGCTGTGCAGCCTGGGAGGCACTCCCTGGGCGAAACCATCGCTGAAGCTGGCTTTGCTTGGACCTGGGATTAGGAGCCTGCAGGGTCCGCTGTTGGAACGTCTTTGGTTGGGGGGTAGCCTGTGTGGGAGATGCGTGTTGGTGTGATGTTGTCGTGCTCTGCCCAGGGTTAGGGACCGCAGGAGGAGATGCGCCAACCCCAGAGGTGGGAGGCGAGAGATGTGAGAGCTGAGTGTGTTGGAGGGACGAGTGCATTCTGGAAAGAGGGGCGTCAGGGTGCAGAAAGAAGAAGAGTTGTAATTGCTGGATGACCGGGCACTGCTTCGTGTGTCGGGGGGCGCTCTCCACTTTCACTCCGCAGGCAGGACAGGGTGACAGGCGGGTCAGCACATACATCTTAGAGGTGTTATTCCCCGCCGAGGCTTTATAAGAGTCCCATTCTGCCCCGTGTTTCTTTGTGAGGTGGAAGGCTATTTTTGTCGTGGAGGCTATCCACGAGTCGCAGAGCAGACAGGTCCTGGTGAGTTGCTGGCCAAGGTGGCCGGTGAGGAGCTCGAGGAAGGTCTGGGTTCCGGCCTGTTGCAGCAGTTCGGTGCGCATACGCGAAATGAGAGGCACTGTGTCCATCTGCAAGGTAAGCTGGACCGAGGGTGCGGCAGTAGCACGGCAGTCTGACGAGGGCACGAGCTCCTGGCTGGAGGAGACCTCACTCGCCTTGGAAGGAGCTTCGTCAGCCTGAGTGGCCGCCTCAGGTCTAGAAAGCTTGAAACCAGCCTGTCGGCAGACTCTGCGCTCAACGTGCTGTTGTAGATTATGCCAGTTTTTAAATTTCGCCTGGCAGTGCGAGCATTGAGGCAGGCCTCCCACGGAGTGCTTTAGGCGTGAGAATTCAAGGGGTGGCGGAACAGGAGCCGGATGCTTGACTGTCCGGTGTGTTCTCAGGCCCGCCGCAGTACGAAATACCTTTCCACAGCATGTGTGCATGGGCACGTCCGGAGAAGGGTCAATGTCGGCCTCCCTGAGCAGCTTGCTGTAAGAGGCTACAATTTCCTCCGCCGTTCGCAGGGTGGAGGGAATAGTTAAGATATCTTCACGTGGCCAGGCGCCGGACTGAGTGAGGAGCGAAGAGCTCACGTTGGCCGGCGTGGATGTTGAGCAGGAGGTGACCTCACTCGCTGGGGCTGCATTCCGGCGCTTGCGGAGAGAGTCTAGGCGCTGGGCGGAGCGATCATGAAGCTGCTGAATGGGAGAGACAAGTTTCAGACGTGCAAAAAGCGCTGCTGTAGTTTCACGAGTCTTATGCACAGGGTTGTGCGTTACCGCTCGCACCTGTCTGGCATGCCATGAGCGGAGAGCCCTTGCCCGCCTACCTGAGAGACCAACGGATTCCAGGCCAAAAGTGGCCGTGGACCAGACGGTGGCTCTCCAGACAAGCAGCCTAGATGCGGTTTTTGTCCTGCGCTTATTGTGAATGAATTTGCGCACTGTCTGCTTTTTCTTCGCCGCTCTCTCTTGTCTTAAAGAATAGGTAAGATCTTCCGGGTTTGAGTAGCTGATCATGACTCCTAGATACTTGAAGGAGTCTACCAGCTCGAAGGAAGGAAGAGAGGGGAGAGGGGGAAGAACTGAGGAATGCGAAAGCAGAATTGGCCGTCTTGGCTGCTCTGGTGCGTCTATATTCCAGACCGTGACCTTCCGGCCTGAGCGAAGCTCCTGTGACTTGAAGAGCTTCTTGGCCTGCTGTGCGTGGCGACCTGCCAGTTTGACCATGATGTTGCACTTGGCGTAATTCACTTCTAGTCCGGCTTCTTGCAGGTAGTGCAGTAACAGTCTAACCATGTCATGAGCCGCATAGAGATCAGACCAGTTGTGGATGTCTCGGTGAATTACGAGGTCATCTGCGAAGCCTGTGAGGAACTGCTGTATTGGAGAGAACCCTATGTGGGTGGCCATAAGCCGGAACGCCTCCGTGATGACCAGGGAGAAGAGGGAGGGGGCCAGTTTGCATCCTTGCTTTATACCTCTTGTGGAGGTTACTGTTTCCTGGCTTCGTCCATAGCGCAGATTATACTGGGCCTCCCTATGGAGGGATGCAACCAGCTCGACGTCTTCGGGTGAGGCTCCGTAAGTAATTAGTGAGCGCAAAAGAGCTTCTCTGCTTGTTTTGTCAAAAGCTTGAGAGAGATCTAGTGAGAAGGTGAAGCCTCCGATTAGGTCCGGCTTGCCCTTCGTGCGCTTGGGAGTGCAGAATCTGTCTGGTGCTCGGGATCGAAGCATGGCACGGACGCGCCTTGCGTGGCCAATTACCCGGAGTTGGGCATCGGCGATACCGCGTCCTGGAATGTAGGCAAATTGAGGGGAAGCAAAGTGGGCCTTCTTAAAGAGGGGGTCGAGTCTTCTCCTAGCCTCAGAGGCTATTCGCAGTAGTTATTGGCCACAGTGGAAGCACAAAGGCGGTACATGGATGCGGGGGCAGATCCTTGCGGTACTGCCTTTTCCGGCTTTATAGAGGCTATGCCTTTGGACAGACTACTTTTGTCCAGCTTGGGCAAGGCTTGGCCTACGCCACTAGCTAGGGGGGGATGCGAGGAGAAGATGGAAAGACTATGTCTCTTTAACTCTGCCAGTCCCTCAGGCTCAGTTAGGATGCGGCCGCATGGCGATCTGAGGCAGACTCTTGGTGCAGGAGACCAAGGAGCTACATGCTTTAAGGAGCGATATGCCGCATGTGGATCTCGTTTGACCTTCTCAGAAATCTCTGTCAAAGTTCGATGAGTTCTTTCTCGGGCCTGATTCTTTATCTGGATGGCATGTGCCTTGGCTGCCTCGTCCAGCGAGCGCTGAGCCTGTTTGAGGTGCTCGGTGCGAGCTATCTTATTTATGACGTCGTCCTCACGTTTTAGGTTTCGCAGTGCAGTCTGCCGATGGTTATGAAGCCGCCACAGAGGTTGTGCTGTCGGAGCTGCGTCCGAGCTGCCTGCTTCTGGGTCCCTCGGCTGGAAAGTCTTGGCATGTTCGAGAAGAAGCTCGTTGACCTCATCAGGGTGAAGAGGCTCGCCATTCTTCTGCGCTCGGAGTTTGTCGACATCCTTTGCAACTTGCTCCCGCAGGGTTTGGGCCAGAGGAGTGTTTTGTCTAACATGGTGAGCCAGTAGGGACTTTTGTTTGGAAGGGACTGCCGGTTGAGTTTTGGTCGAGAACGGGTGTCTCCAGACCTTCTTGAGGGGTATTGCCGTCCTGAGTGGCATGTGTTTGCCACCTTTACGCCATGCTCCCAGCTTGAAGTCTTTGAGGACACACACTTTGCGGGCCAGCTGAGCAGCGTAGAATTTGGAGGTCAAGATGAAATCTATCTGAGAGCTGCCCTGTGGCGAGATGAAAGTGTTTGCCTTGCGCCCCTGCCATGTGTTAAGCGCAACTAGGGAGTTTCGCTGAAGAAACTTCTGGAACTGCTTTTGAACCGGCTTGTGCTTAGAAGATCCTGCTGGCACCACTCCCCCTACAAAGGGGGGATTTGGTTTTAGGGAAGAGTTGAAGTCGCCCGCCAGTACCGGAACAGTACGCTGTGACAAGTTGGTAAGGGACTTGCTTAGGGAGGAGAGAACTTTGCTTTGGGTGGCATAGTGGTCCTGCTCCGTCATGCCTCGTTGCTTGGTGTACTGGTAGCAGTTGAGCAGAAGCACTGGATGGCCTCGGATTTCGCAGTGAACCTCGTGAGCACGGCCTGGGTGTAGATCCTGCCAGCGTAGTGTTGCTGAGTCTATGCTAGGCGATAGTAGAGTGAGAACACCTGCAGAGCGCCTGTGCTTTGGCTGTTAGGGTAGCTGGGATGTTTGAGCGGGAGGAGACCTCACGAGCTCTTCATCCGGCAGCCCGCCTGAAACAGCTGTCCAGCCGTGCACTTTAAACTGGGAGGATGTAGTCCAGTGGGTTTCCTGGATAAAGATAACATCGAGGTCCTGCTGATATTGCAGCCACTCCTTGAACTCTGCCCACAATTGCTGGCTTAATCCACCTGCATTCCACGAGAAAACCCGCAGTGGTTTGGCTTCGCGACCACCTCTAGGGTGACGCCTACGCGGTTGCCTAAGAGGAAGCTGCGGTGCAAATTGCGCATGCATGTTTTCCTTAGTCTCTTGGCTTGCACTAGGTGCAGCCGTGCCTGCGCTTGCCTGTGCCTGGCTTAGAGGCAAATTTGTCCTTCGATATGGTACTGCGCAACCGTCCCTTAAGGCTCGGTGACAGGCCCGACGATAGGAGTGTTTCCGAATTAAACCCTCTGCCATCCGCTTGTTTCGACTGAAGTGCCGAAGCACGATCAGACTCCCCTCGTCCTGCGGAAAGACGAGAACCCTCACACTTAGGAGTGAAAGATGCAGTCTAAGACGATCTAAGTTCTCCCCCCGGAATTGGGACCGGGCCAGCTCGTGGATACGCTGTCTGCGGCAGAATCTCAAAATGCTTGGGGCTAAAGCCTCCAAGTGACCATCAGCTGGCAAAAGCTAGAAAGCCTTGAGATGTTAAGAGGGCCCCGAAAACTGTTAAAGAGAAGAAGTTCGGGGCCTTGGCCGGTTCGACAGCTACCATGCGCGGGCGGCTTGAGCTGGTAGTGCTTACGACATGGCAGCAGCAGCAGCAGCAGCAGCAGCAGCAGCAGCAGCAGCAGCACCAGCAAGGCCTCAAAGCACCAACAAGCCCAACCCGCCTGCAGACGGCCTGTATCGACTTGGATCAGGTTCGACAGCTTTCCTGCGGCGGGCGAAGTGGGGCTTCGCGCTTTAGGGTTTAGGGTTGAGGGTCTAGGGTTTAGGGTTTAGGGTTTATGGTTTAAGGGTTTGGGGTTCAGGGTTTCGGACTTTGGGTTTTAGGGTTCAAGGTTCAGGTTTGGGGTGTAGGGCGAGCACTGGCGAGCACTTGCGGTTTCGATGTTGGCTTCAGGGCATGAGGCCTTCGGAGTGTGCCCTGCCCGCGCTTGATCCGGAATGTACTTGATATGCAGATAAGAACAATATTAAAAACAAAACATAATCATATTCAGAATTAAAATCATAATCATTATTTTAAAAAGAAATGGTAATAGAAACCATAGAAAGTAATATTCTCAACTTAGGAATAGGTACAGCATAGTAGCAAAACATCGGTATAATGAGATAGTAGTTTAACAACAGCGCAACACGACAATGAAGACTCATGGTTCGACTTGGAAGCTAATTTGTTCAGCCACTCCTGGTGGGTAAAGAAGCAACGGCTTAGGCATTGGGACTTCGGGTTCCTGCAAGCCGCACAACAGACTGCCCATCACTACAAGGCTTCGGCTTCGATCGTACTTCTGACGCTAAGGTTGTTGCGTGCGACTTCCTTTCCGCCGCGGGTATAAGAAGCTGTGGGGACTTCTCTGTGTTCCACCACGCCCTACAACCCTCCGCGCAAAAAATCTCACAGGAACCCGAAGATAAAGGGTCCAGAGCTCACATGGTCCTTGCCCGTAGGCGGCAAAGGACGGCTGCGACAGCCGGACGATCCTCTGCTTCGTTCGGCGTTTTCTTGGGGGCGAAGCGCCTACGTTGCACTCTCCCGGAGCCGTTTCAGGGGGCATAGCAAGCTTAGGATGCGTACGGCTCTCCTCTGAAACCCTCTAAGCCCCTGACTTTCTTGTTTAAAACCCCAGAATAGGTATCATGCAGCGAAGACTTTCTGTGACCAAGGATCTTGTCAAAGACCAGGCAGGAGGCCCCTCCTTTGCCTCGGGGTTGGGAAATCTTTGGGCCAGAGGACTCGAGGGCCCGCAAAGGCAGCTGAACTCACTGGCACAAGAACCACAAAAGCATTGTGATCATTCTGCCCCTTTACCCTGAACCCTCAACCCTAAACTCTTGTCATGATAAAGAAGAGGACCCCCCAAGTCCTGAGATGGTCCTTTGGGCCTTTTTGTGCCTTAGGGTTCCTAAGTTTAAAGGCCTAAGGGTTACAACTACTATTTGCTTAAGAACCCAAAAAAATAAAACAATGGTCCCTAGATATTACGCTTACAAGGAAGAATATTGCATTTCTTTTGTTTGGGGGGGGGGTGTTCTTAAGCAACTCGTAGACAAGGGGCTCGAAGATGGCTCTATAGTAGACCCCTAAGCTGGGTTTATTGAAATTGTTTCGGGTTCAGGTCTGGAGAAGCTTCGTTGAGTTTCCATGAGACTTTCGAGAGAAGTTTTGTTTTGACTTCTGAACAACTTCCAGCTGCAGGGGCTTGAGGGTTGAGGGTTTAGGGAATAGCCCGGGCTGCGTACACGGAAGCGAAGTGGGGGGTTGAGCATGCAGCGAGGGCGCACCGAAGGCCGACTTGACGGCCGAGGAAAGAAAACTGGCTCGAACACAAGTTCCTCAGCTGGTTTAGGGTTTCGGGTAGAGGGTTTAGGGTTTAGGGTTCTGCTGGTGCCGGTTGTGCGAAATCTCTACAGGGTTGGTGGCCAAAAGAAAGTGTTGGGGTCTTTGGGAGCCTTCGATGTAGTGCTCTGGCGCAACTTTCGGACCACAAACCCTTTTGCAACTTGTGATCCTAAACCCTAAACCCCAAACCCCAAACCCTAAACCCTAAACCCTAATCCCTGAACGAGCACCACGGCGAAACTTAAAATCACCGGGATTCTGCAAGGCAGGGCCGCATGCCAAAGCCATCGCGTACCTCGCAGCTAACAAAAATTGAGGAATTGACTGTCTGATGAATGATGCTCCGGTTATTTGGGCTTAGGGCTTTTGGGGCTTTGGGGGCATTTCTTGCGGTTTAGGGGTTAAGGTTGGTTGTAGGGTTTAAGGTTATGCGGATTTGGGGTTTAGGGTCTCCGTCTAGGTGCGGCAGGAAGTAAGAAAAAGAGCAAAAAGAGCCCATCCTTTCGCGTCGTGGCCCGATAATCTTGGGGGGTTCACAAAGCAAAAAAACGGTAGTAAATGTATGTGTGAATGTATATATATATATATATATATGGTTCAGCGTCGAGCGTCCTGGGCCCCCCCCCCCATGGTATCCCCCCCCCCACCCCAAGTCTACTCTACGGTCCCTAAACCCTAACCCCTAAACCCTAAACCCTGAACCCTAAACCTAAACCCTAAAACCAACTAAAACCCTAAACCTTAAGTCTTAAACCTTAAACCCTAAAACCCTGAACCCTAAACCCTAACCCTAAAACCAACCCCCAACCACACCACAGGGGGGGGGTATCATCTTAGTACCCCATCCGCGGGGAAACCCTAAACCCTAAACCCTAAACCCTAAACCCCCTAAAAAACCCTAAACCCTAAACCCTAAACCCTAAAACCCTAAAACCCTAAAACCCTAAAACTAAACCCTAAACCCTAAACCCTAAACCCTAAACCCTAAAAACCCTAAAAACCCTAAAACAACCCCCCTAAAACCAACCACAGAGGCGGGGGGGATACCATTGGGGGGGGGGGGGGTAGGGGGGGTAGGGGGGGGGGGGGGGGGGGTAGGGGGGGGGGGGTAGGGGGGGGGGGAGGGGGCGTGGCTAGGGTTTTAGGGCTTAGGGTTTTGTGGATATTGCCTAGGGTCCAAAAGGGTTGTAAGGGTTTACTTAGGTTTAGGGTGGGAGGGGGGAGGGGGGAGGCGGCAGAATTCTCCAGCAAACCAAGGAGCAAAAGCCCCATCCAAACTGAAGAAGTGTCCAGGTTGTCGATCATCGGCCGGATGAGCAGCGGAGCCACGAAACCGATGCTGAGCTCAGCGCCATGGAAGGCCCCCATCAGGATGATCTGGGCCTGCGCGCGCGCTGGGTTGAGGGTTTAGGGTTTAGGGTTTAGCGTTTAGGGTTTAGGGTTTCAGCTTCCTTTCTTGCCACCCGCCGAAATGGTCACACTCAGGCCACATTGCAGGGCATCCCTACTCGGATCCACATTTCCACGTTCAGGGTTCTTTGCCACGCACAGGGATGCAAACAACAAGCAAGTCTGGCCCCTGGTCCGGAGACAAAAGAGACAAATTCGGCATTGGGAAAGGAATCCAGACGAACCCAAAGGACCAACCAGAGAGGTGAGGTGTAAACGAGATCTGCGCCGAAGAAAGGGTCCGTCCCCTTGGTATTCTCAAAGAGCTACCCCGAAAGCCCAAACCCCAAACCCTGAACCCCAAACCCCACACCCAAAACCCTGCAAAACCCAGAGCTCCTTGTGGACGCTCCAGAGGCTTCGCAGGAAGGGGCGTGGGCCACCCACGTGGAGCTCCCACGCCGCGCCCAAAGTCCGGCCTTGTCCCAGGAGTTTGCGAAATTCAGGAGTCTGGGCCAGGGTTTAGGGTCTGTTTTTGCCACCGGCCTCGCGGGCCAGGATTCTAGGTTAAGGGCTTCGACTCTCGCACTTGCTTTGAAGCAGGCAAGGATTCCAGCTCTGTTGTGCACCACACCGCAGCAGGCTTGAGGGTGCGGAGACTGGGAACCCATGATAACAACGCTTCGGGTCTAGGGTTTGCTGCAGGGCTGAAGGCCCAGGGTTTAGGGCTTAAGGGTTCAGGTTTAGGGTTTACGGATTGAGGTTTAGGGTTTAAGGGGAGGGTCCGAAACTGATCCGCCATGCTGCCAGGCTACTGTTGCGGGCGGGGATGTCGTTGACTTCCAATGCCGGGGCATCTGCTTCTGTTAGCTGCCGCTCCTGCGCACGTCATCTTCGAGTGTTCAGGACATCGCACGGGACCTTCATGGAGCCTTTTCACGGGAGCCTATACATAGTTGCTAGCATTAGCAAACTATGTTACACAAACAGGTGAAGGTCCAACTCGAAAGCCCGACGGCGGCCCTTTGCACGCTCAGGCCAACACAAAACACACAACGTGGTCACGCCCTGTAATAAAATTCTATGATAAGAATTATGCACGATGTGCCTCACGGAAGCCACTAATAAACAAACGGCGAAGATATTTCAACGAAGGATTTTTTGTGCCTGGCCCAGGCGCAACATCTCTCCGTAGCGGTTGAACGCAGGATCGCGCAAGGAACTTTGTGCCATGGCGGCAAAGGCGCTGACCTGCCTAACTGCAACGGTAAAATGCGGAAACTTAATGCCCAATGGTTGGGATGTTCCCCCTTATATAAACAGTTCTTAGTAGGGATTATGGTAGAGGGTACTATAATCCCTACTGAGGATTGTTAGTAGAGGGGGAACATCCCAACCCAATCCAATGGTTTGACCGCCGCTCTGAACAGATTTGTTGGTTGCAGCCCTTCTCGTCCGCAATGTTTGCGTCCTATATCAGTGCACAAGCATCATCCCCTTGCTGCATAGACACAAGGCGAAAGACAACTTGCTGAAGCAGAAAGCAAGCCGGTACCAAGCCTCCCCAAACCTCAGCCATGTTTACCGTCTGCACATGCCGAACGCATCCTAGCACATCCAGATCAGACGGCCGCTAGCTGCACTGCTGACAGATGCCGACAAGCTCGACGCGGATATGTTTTGTGTACTTTTAGGCCCGCCACAGCTTTGCCTGTTTTTGAATCACCTGCTTCCGGCGTTGTTTTTTTATCAAAAGGTGCAGGCTGACCTGCTTTTGTGTTAAAGGTTGCGTGAACAGCTCAGCAATCAGCATGGCCTCTTCTTAGGGTTCCGCAACGCGCTCAGCTCGGCATGCTTATGTCAAAACTATTGTGGGCAATGTCACAACACCTTGGGCAGCCCAGAAGTTCGCATAGCCCCCGCTTTCACACGTGCGCGGAATCTGGCAGAAACATGACATCCTGTACTGCACAGGCGTGCTCCGTTGATTTTGACGGGGACTACCTACAGGGCGCTCAGCGAGCAGCTTTCCAAAACGGGCCGAGGGGATCGCCGTGAGCCACACCGCCGCACAGCAAGGTGATGTTCTCAGCCCTGTCCTCTTCAACGTGCAGTGTGATTGACAAACATTCGCTTTGCTGATGATCTTTTGCTCATGCGCAGTCTTGTTGTGAATTTACCACCATGATCACGCTCTTGAAGCAAGAGCTGTGCCAAATTGGCTTGCACTTGAATGCGGACAACACCAAGATATTCACAACGACGTGCACGGCCAGCCTGTGTCGTGGTCATCACTGTTTCAACGATGGACGCGCAGCACGCCATTCAAACATGGGATCCCTTTCATGCCGTTTTTGCACACATGGCCCAGACACATTGAACCACGCGTTGCTTGAATGCTCCGCGCATACTTCCTTGAGACGAAGGTGGAGATCCCGAGTTGGCACAGCCCCAATCTTGTGTTTGCGAACCCTTTTCAACACGCATGCCGCCGTAAATACAGCCAGACAGATCGTGTACAATGTGCAATTTGTGGCAGCCGTTTGCCAAGCCGCAGAGGCGTGTGAGATATGACGCGATGTGATTCAAATTCAAATTGTTGCATAGTTGCATGTTGTGTGATGCAGACACTTGCATATGACATGTGTTGTTTCACTGTTCTGACCGTGACCCACGGTCGTTTCTAGGCATTCCTCTCTGGTCAACCAGCGTCAACACTGTGACGAGAACAGACTCGTCGTCCGGCGCAAGCTTCTGCTGCGCCCCTCGTGAGTAGAAGGTGTAGTCCATTTGGACCGTCGCTTCCCATGCGCCTTCTCCCGCGTCTTTCTTTCTGCGGTGGTGCCCGCCTCGCCCGGCCCCCTGCACGCATTCCGGGCACCAGCTTTGGAATGGCAGGTGAGTGAGCGCTAGTCTCGACCCTTTCTCTGCCGAGGATGTTTTGCTGCAACCGTGCAACGTGTTGCCCACCAGTCTTTTGCAAAGCGCAGTTCCGCCGTGCCATCGCCCTTTTTCTCACGCTTGTCCGCGATGCCTCTGGCGCAAGTCCCACCAGCGAAACGTTGGCGTCCCCTGCGCTGGCCCGTGCTTGGAAGGTTTGGCTGCTTCTACCGTGCATGCTCCTGTTCCGACCTGCTCAATCACCGCGAGTCCCCCATCAGCTCCTCTCCAGGTTCACCGCGTTCTTCCGCGGTGAGTCGGACACCCTATTGCGTGCCGCCCTGGCGGAGGCTGGGGCGGCCTTCACAGCACCTCGTCGAGTGATGATGTTTTATAGGCTTGCTGAGCGCGCTGCCCATCTTGCGCGCCTGGGTGAGCTGTCTGCACCCCTCGCCCCGGCCTCGGAAGCTGTTTTGCATGAGTTGCGAGACCCCGTCCGCTGACCGCCACAGGCTTACGGGCCTTTGCCCTCCTCTCTGCTGGACTTCGAGCCCGATGCACCAGTTGCGCTCGATCGAGCCGCCCTTCTCACCAACCTTCGCCATGCACGGAAGGGCTCCGCGCCGGGGCCCAGTGGATACACAGCTGAAATGCTCCGCTCGTCCTAGACGATGAGGAAGCCACGTTGGTGTTCGCGGATGTCGCGACCCTGCTGGTGCGCGCCCAGGTCCCCGCGTAGGTTGTCGCTGCCATTGCTTTGGGGCGGATGATCGCCGTTCGCAAACCTTCGGGGGGCTCCCGTGGGCTGGTTGTGGGTAACCTGCTGCGGAGACTTGTGGCACCCTCGCTCAGCAGTTCTCGCGGCAGCTTATGACACCGTTAGCCGGGAGTCCATGCTAGCGGCCTTGCACGAGGTGCCACAAGCCTCAGCCCTGCTACCCTTCGTGCGCTTATGGTATGCCCGCGAGTCTGCATATGTGTGGGCTGCAGGTCCGCTGACCCACCGCATCACTCAAGCTGAGGGCGCCGAAAAAGGAGACCCAGTCATGCCGGCACTTTACGCGTTGTTTGCCCCGGCTATCCGCGACCTGCAAGCTGACCTCGGCCCCGACGAGCAAGCCATGGCATACCTCGATGACGCGTACATATTGGCCCCGCCCCACCGCGTGATGCAGCTCTACCACCGCTTGCCCAGCGGCGTGCCCAGCTCCGACTCAATCCTGACAAACCCGCGTGTGCAATAGCGGAGGGGCTTATCCAGAGGGTGTCCACCCAACAGCGAGGTCTGGGTTGGCGACCGGGCCCTCGCATCGCGGTCTCAGCGTGGAATTGTTGCACTTGGCGTACCCTTAGGCGCACCAGAATTTGTCGCCGCACATTGGGCCGCATTGCTCGCCAAGCAAGGGTCCTCCTCCTGGCTGACACGCAGGTTGCCTGGCTGTTGTTGTCCTACTGCGCCGCCCCCCGCGCAGTACGCGCTTCGCACCTTGCCTCCTGTGAGCACGCGAGCATACGCAGCTGGGCACGATGAAGCTGTCCTCGCGTGGTTGGATACTTTGTTGCGCGCCGATACCGCCACCGGCTTGCCGGCGCTCGCCGCCGTACGGGCACAGCTCGCGCTGCGGCAGAGCGCCATGCAGTTGCGGCTTACTGGGCATCTTGGGCCGACGCGCTGCCAGCCCTCGCACGTCGAGACCCCCCCTTCGCTCAAACGCTGGCGCGCTCCCTCGATGGCCCAGGCCCCTCGCCCTGGCTGCCCTGCAAAAGGCCACGGTGTCCCTGCAAGCTGCAGGCTTCGAGGCCCCCTGTGGAACGCCGTCCTGACGGCTTCCAGCAGACGACGACCCCACTGACCTCACACGCGGATGGCAGCACCATGCATCGCAGGCGGTCGACGACTTTTGCCAGCGTGCCATCCGCAGAGAGCCCGATGCCGCCAGCCTGGCCATGTTGGCCCCACAGTCGGGGCCCCACCATCGAACGTGTTCACAACCCGGCCCGTCTCGCCTGAGCTCTCCCTCAGCTCGCCACTCTTCCGTGCCGCTTGGCCGAGATACGTTTGTCAACGAACGCGATGGCAGCGAGTGTGTCATGCGCAGGAAGGAACGGGCGAGCGGACACTGCCTCGACCTGGCGTCGCCACTAAGCTCCATGAAGCTCGCGTCTCTGGTGACACCATGCCAGCTGCGTGGAGCAACAAAGGCACGTAAATGCGCGAATTTGTAAGTGTGGGCGAACGGCAGCGACGGGGGAGGCATCTGCGCCAGGTCGACGGAAGAACGCTGGGATTGGGCGGGCGCGTACCGGCTGCGGGCTGCGTGATTTGAACTCCCACACCGTTTGCAAATGGGATCCCACAACTCGGTGGAAAACACGACCCACTAGAGTTGTGGGGTAGCCCCGTGAAACATAATGCTTTCCAAACTATGTGAGCTGGGTTGACGCTGCATGTGATGTTGAGCGGTGCAAGCTCAAGAAAAATGAGAACATACAAATGTTCAAGGTGGAAATGAAAACACCTGTATCTCGCGAGCGCTTTACCAGCAAGTCCGTCTAGGGCCGTAGCTTGACTCGAACAGGCCAAACCAAAAACCTCAAGGTAACGTGACTCCAAGATATTCCAAGGGAGGCACACCCGTTCGTGGAAACCATAGGCGACGTGCATTGCGTTCCTCAGCATGCCACGGGAGTTGCCGGCGAGCGTGGGCGCCGCGCCGACGCCGCCTGAGCTGCAGTGCAGCCGCGCTATGTGCCACATCACGAGTCGAGTCGAGTCGAGTCGAAACCTGATCGCCCGAAGGCGTCCCCTTTAGGGTACAGGTGAAACGTTCTATAGGCACCTTTTATGCAGATTCCTGCCCCATCACAAATTTGCAAAAATCATCGCGTGACTCATTCCACATATTGTTGTTCATAGCTGCTGTTTCCCAGGTGGCCCAGCGTTGGAAGCGAGCAAAATTCTCTAGGCAAGTCATCCACATGCTGCCGCGTCTACCGGGGTTAGGCCGCCCCATCGGCTGCCACTTCAAAGCACGTTTAACCCATCTTGCATCAGGCAAGTTGGCAATGTGTCTCGCAAAATTCCAATAAGAATGCAAACAAAGTTGTCCCCATGTAGGCCGTCGCAAAGCTTCCCAACACCGCAACGCTTTCATGTTCCACTGGTGTAGGATGTGGTGCCACGGCATGTCCCATTGGACGTCGGATGGAGGACCAACAATGCGCCGCAAAAACTTTCTGAAGACAACATCATGATGGCGAACATCTGCTTGGAAAATAGCTCTGTGGCCAGCCGCAAAACATGCCACGGGAGTGATTACGGCATCGAAAAATCGGAGTCGCTGTGTCAAGGA